TGTCACCAAGATAAACACTGGGTTACGATAAAATATGCCGGTTATGTGTTGAAGTGTTAAGACAGTGGACTTATGGTAAATCAAAATCATTGTTATTCGGCATTTCTATGTCCAAATTAGAATGCAATTGGAAGTCGGAGTGAAAAATGTCATCAATACGAGTTTGAAAGAAGAAAGTATTGCTTCCACCACTTTACATTAAACTTGGTTTGATCAAACAGTTTCGACTTGATTATTTCATGTTTAGATATCGAAGTCATGATCTATATAGGTTTTAAGCATATGAATAAATCGTAAGGACACAAAAAATTACATTTTAAGAAAAAAGTCAATTCAAAAATTACGTTTTTTTTGCTTATTTTCGATCTTTCCATGCTTTAATATTGTCGGATGTATTTTTAACCAACCCAATCGAAAAGAGCATCGTTAAAAACATAGAAACACTAGTTATCGAATATTTTTTCGTCGCACTCATTACCCGGCAAGGGTTCAAAGAAAAATATGTTCTCTGAGCATTTATGGGTTAATGTGACGTGGTATAAACCATATAAATATCGTTTTCTGTTACTTTTAAGACAATTACGACAAATATTAACAATTTAAGAATAAAACTTATAGAAAGAAAAAAAATTCGCAGACCTGTGTAATTAGTGTAAATAAATAGTTTTTGTCGTTATCAGTCTGAGAAGTTAATTTTGTTAAACCCACGAACATTACAACGGCATATAAAAGCAACACCTAGTGGATAGTCAAATTATTAATTTCTCAAAAAAAAATTATAACCAACAATTTCTATTCAACCATATCAATAGCCAATTAGAATTTTATCTTCATAAAGTGAATTAAGAAATAGTAAAAAATCATAACAATTATTTTATTTCGCATTCTAATTTTTGTATAGGTACCTAAAGAAGACAACGCCTTATTAATTTTGGTAGCTTCCTTTAACCTGTCTCCCGATGCTCCAGTCTTCGATTGCCTTTCGCTACCAGCAAGATCGACAAGGTTTAGTTTGCCAATTTTAACGGATTTCGAATTGTTCTCTTCGGCCATTTCGATCGCTATTTGGAAAATAGCATGTGATCGCGAACTGTGCTCGTTCATGTTCGTTACCCCTGTAGTGCGATTCTTGTTTCCGATGCGCATGGTTTTCATCATGTCCGCAGCGTTCTTGCAAGTCTGCGAATGCAAGTGTGTGACATACACTCCACCCTGACCACCTGCCATTTCCCTTAATACCAATTGTTTTTTACTTTTCGATTTTAGTAGATCGCTGTAAAGGAAAAGAAGTATTTTGGCAAACCATAGGATTAATTATTTATTTTTAAAAATAATTAGCCAATAAAGGAATATGAATATAGCGTCTTTATCATCATATTTATTTTTAAATATAT